GCTCAGATACTGTGTAGTTTTGTACAAGTGTTTGTAAGTGCATTTGACCAATGACATCACACCAACAGTTCAGACACCCTCTCTCCAAAGCATATGAAAGAGAATGGCACCTGTCTCCTTCAGGGTCTCAATCCCACCCAGTGGTACAGATCTTCTCCAACCTACATCAACTCCTCCTGGACTGTGTGTATTTAAGATGGTGACTTATCATAAGTCTGAGAAAGAGCCTTGTGTTCAAAACGTCAGTTGCAAGTAAAAAAATTAAAAAAGCTCTTCTGTCTATGTGTATTAGATAAATATGGGATCAGCACATGTATCACAGCTGTTGTAATCACAAGTACACTACCAGCAAGTGAAAACCTGTTTTTAAACAGAACTTTTACAAGACAGACTATAGCTACTTATCACCAACATTTCCGGGACATGGTCACATAAAAGAAACATTATTCTGGCACTCTTTGGCAAAGCATGGTGAAAAGTTTTATTAAAAACCTTCATTTAGTCTGCAAAACACACACCACTTTTGAACTTTGGTATAGATGCAAAAAGATTACTACACCTTATACATTATTTGAATAAATTATAGGATTTATCCAAGCTGATTTTCTTTTTATAATAAACCCAAAACATACAAAACACACTATATGAATTTGCCGGAAGGGTCACACTAAATGAAATAATTTATATTTAAAGGTCTCAGTGGTCCCAACACAGGATACGTTTTTTCTTTGACCTATTGAGATCAACCTCTACATCACCTACGCGAATAATGGGGGAATTTATTATTGCTCCAATTTCACTCTGAACTAGTAGCCTTGGCTGACCATATTTATCTTGAAGTGCTAGGAGAGCGGTGGAATATGGTCTTGCATCATGCATACTAGATCCTGCCAATTTGTTAGCTCCTGGGTGTTCAAGATGTTCTAAGAGGATCTGATATTTATACTGCTCAGTAAAGTGGGGGTGATTGTTAAGGAGGTTATCCAGAGCCATTTTCAGAAGGGCAAAATCACTCTCTTGTCCACTCTTAAACACAGGAAGTGAGGGTCTCAGGATTCCATAGGCATGAACAGATCCATAACATTGGGAGTTTGAACATGTGAGTAGACAGCTTGTGGCTGCTGGGATGACATGTCATGCATTGGTGGCAGACTACTAGTGAAAGTGGGCTGTCAGGGACCAAGAATGGATGCAGGATAACTAGGGGCCTTGGAACAGGTGACTGGGGGTGCAGGTATAATGCAAGTGCATGAAATTGAAGAGGGTATAGCTTTTGAAGAATGCCTTGGGGATGGATAACGTGCAGCTTGGGCATTACTAACAGAGTCAAAGAGTGAGGCTGAACAGGGGCTATGCTTCGTTGTATTAGATGGGGCAAGGGAAGGGTTTGGGAGCCCCTTCATAGTCCTCTGGGAATGCAAGGTTGAGGAAGCAGGAGGGATGAAGCCGAATGAGTTTGAGAGTCAGCATACATCAGATTTGGGGAAGAAGGAATAAATATTTTGGTAGGAGGCATGTCATAAAAGGAAGAGGTGGCTACATTTCCATGAAGAGATGAGGGAGTAGGAGCAGAGGCTCCACCAGGGTGATCATCTTCATCCTCAGAAAAATTCTGTTTAATAAAGGCAGAAACAAGCTGGGCTGACTCAAGCTCCTTTTCTTTAATGTGAAGATGATGGCAAAATGATTTGGTACTCTTTATGAGCTGTAGTCAATAATGGTTTAGGTGGCAGGCAAGGATCTGTTTGGTGAGCAGGTATAGATGACCTAGGTGATGTTTGAGATAACTGTTGGGTGGGCTCATATATGATGGGCTGCGTTGAGTCTTTCACACCTTTGGATCAATCCATATACTCAGTAGAAGGAGCCTGGCCTTCAATAGAGGGATCATCAGTTGGGTTAATGCCATCAGTCTTGAGAGTGTGGCTCAGTATCCGACTCGAAGGACCATTTGTTGTGGATATAAGGTTCTAACTGGCGCCACAGACCACCAAGAAACAAGGATTGCCATCATCCATTTATTAACCAATTCAGTGTTTCTTTCTAGGATGATGATTGCCATTGTTCTAAACAAAGAAAGAACAAATCTCAATATTTCCAAAACAAGTCATTAATCCAGTCTTTAAATCATGTTAAACATTTACACATTTAAGTATCACAAATCTTTCAAATAAAGATTAGACTGACATATAAATCAACATAATATTATTTAACAAATTTAACCTTCCTGTCTCTTATATATCATAAAAATATGTAAATTAATATAAAGAAATTGCTACTCACATTGAAGGTAGATCAAGACACACAGCAAACATCTACATCATCTACACATCATCCGGGTGAAATGTTTGGAGACAAAAGAAGGCAAGTCAAGTCCAGCCCTCTGTTTATAATGTAGGAGGTACTCACAAGTGCATAGAGTCACTAGTTGTCTCCTTGTGGCAAGGAGGGCAAGTACACTTGCAGTTTGTAACAGATAGGGATAAATGTAATAAAAGTGAATGTATTACCCTGTCTACTGTAACCACTGCAAATGTTATCAATAGAAGACGGCAGAAATTATTATT